AGTAGTCTGAATGTTAGAGTAGAATAGCATATGATAGTCATATGAGAGTTCTTTTTCCTTTTATTTATTTATTCATTTTTTTGGCACTTAGAATTGACCCTGGGTGCCTTGAGCATGCTGAGTATGTGCCCTATCAGAGATACATTCCATTTATTATTTTAAATCATATTTATAATCTATAACAATTCAGGCTTTCAGTTCTTTAACAATGTTTTCTTGTTTCTATTCTATAGAAAGATCATAAACTGGACATAGTGGCTCAAGCCTGTAGTCCCAGTACTCAGAAGTTCAAGGTTATCCTCCACTACACAATGAGTTCAAACCAGCCTGGGATACATAAGACCATGAATTTAAAAAATAAAATTTTAAATGGAGAAAAAATATTAAGTTCTATAAAATCAAAGCAAAAGTAAGAACTCAACAACTCATGAATGCAAAATAATTGTTGCTATGCTGTTATATGTTCACTGATTTCTTATTTAATTTTTTTTAGAATTTCTTACATAGGTTCTGTATCATCATTTCCACCACCCCACACTTTCCCCTCTCTAACTCAACCCATATCTCCCCTGCTCCACCTCAAATTCATGACCTCTTCTTCATTATTGTGTGTGTGTGTGTGTGTGTGTGTGTGTGTGTGTGTGTGTGTGTGTAATATATAACCTACTGAGTACGTTTAGTGTTGTTCATATGTATATGCATTTCGGGCTGTCCACTTGATACTGGATAACCTATCAGGAGGCTCATCCCCGGGGAAGATGAATTCTCCTGCTCTCAGCAACTGTTTATTGCCTGTAGCTCTTATCCAGAAGTGGGGCCTTGTGAGATTTCACCCAGCTGGCAGTGTCAACTGGAACTATCATTATGCATGTCTTGTTTGGGCAGCCATATTGTTAAGATTTCATGGTTGCAGCTTCCCTGTCTAGAAGACATAGTAAGCATCCTGGTCATCTGTCTCATAATCTTTGATATGTTTATATCTCTTCTTCTTGGTAAACTAATAATTTTTATTCAGGCTATGTTATTACCATAGAGTCATAGACAATAAAAACTGCTAAAGAATAAAATCTAATAATTAGTTGTGGTTTGGAGAATCAAATAAGAAAAACCTTCAGATTTTCCTTTCCAGGTACCTATACTATTATATAAAATAAGTGTGTGGTATCTCTTGGCTCTCAACTTATTGGACCAAGAGATGCCTAAGAAACTAGGAACACACATCTCTAGGAGTGTCTATGAGAACATTTCCAGAGACTATTACATCAAAAAGGATCCAACACAATCAATGGATTAACCCACTGATGGATTCAAATTCTGAATGTGCTATTGGGTGGTGGGAGAAGTGTAGAAGTTACAGCATGACTGGAGGAAGTCAGTCACTGAGGGTATGTCTTTGGAGAGTACAACTTGGCTTAGTCCCTTCCTATGATCATCTCCTTCCTGGCTACCATGAGTTCAATGACCTTGCTCTACTACATTTTTCTGCCTTGAAGGTCTTCTGCCTTACCATGAGCCCAGGAACACAGAAGCAGACAACCATAAACTGAAGCCTCTGAAACTGTAAATAACAATAAATCCTTCCTCCTTTAGGTTTATCCCAGGCAACTTTATATAATAATACAGAGAATAGTATGGATCCTAGGCTTCCTCAGAGGCCCTGATGAAAGGACAGAAGGATCCTAGTTCTGTGTCCTTGCTCAGGACTA